TCTTTAATCATAAAAAAAACTGAGTGCAGGCACTGGACAAAGAAGTTACAGTATGCAAAGGGTGGGGCGTCACTGAAACTTTTGCCCCGGGGCGCCACAATTATGCTTGTGAGGGTCTTGCTAGTAGCTGTCTTTTGTTACAATATCTCATTCAATGATTATCGACTGTATGTCTAGGTTAACTAGTGCAGAAGTGAACGTAATCTTGGATTCTTTCAGTCTTAATCCGATTTCTTCAGGGTTGCTAATTTATTCGTCGTTTTTTTTTATCCCCCCCCCCACCTCCATTATTCATTATTTTTTTATATATATTCTCGTATTAATTCTGTCTGTAAAATGTAAAAACATCAAGGGATGTTCATACTATAAGTAATACAACACTTGAGAACCTATGATGTAAATAACGGAAACCATACCCACACGTACGTAACTAACTTACGAAAATTAATTGGTGGCTAGCTTTTTTTTTTCGCACGTATACAGTGAATGGCCATTTTGCTCAGTAATCCCAGCCAGAATTTGGCTTTTTTCTAAATTTGCGTTAAAGTTTAAAATATTTGTTTTAGAATTGAAATAAATTAACTATTAGACAATCCCAACGCTAAAAACATCAACAGAATTGATTGTTTAGATCTGAAATAGACACGATCGACGTACAAAATAGTGCCAAGATGGCTGCAGACGCTGTCAATAGTGTCATTGACGACAACGTCAATTCTATGAGTTGTAAATGTTATTTTTGTGAAAAATCATTGGAAGAAGAGAGAACAATGTTGGGACTGTACGAATTATATAGTCTTAATGGGTACAAAGGACACAATGCTGAAGATAAACCTATTGCATACAATGTAAGGTGTTGTTGACCTCATGACCCATTGACGTCAATGTCATGACCTGTGATGTGTAGATCACGTGATATGGACAAGATGGCTATTGACTGTGTCTGAGATACTTCTCCGCAGGTAGCGTGTCTCAGATGTTCAGAATGCATACCCACATTGTTATCAGTACACTGTCATCATGTGTATGACTGTATGTGCACGAGGTCATCCACACTAGAGTTTGCGATTTTAAGTTTAGAACAGAACTTTAAAACATAACATATCTGGATATTACAGGCCCGGCGGAGTGGGGGGGGGGCTAGGGGGGGCTATAGCCCCCCCCCCCAATAATTTGGCCGCAAGTACTCTTTTCTCCAGGTTATTGCGGCCCCTGGACCGCGCCTATAAGGACCTAGGATGGAAGCCCCCCCCCCCCAATCAAGAATTGCTTCCGCCGGCCCTGTATTATAGAAATGTCTTGTTATATAAAGGATATTATGGGCAGTTCCTTGTGTCCAATATATACATTACTGTATTGAAGATAAAATACCAAACGGCAAATAAACTGCAACTAAATTCTCCTGGTACATGCTCATTTTATCACCAAAACTATAAACAATATCGGTTTAGAAAAAGCCTTTTAAAGGGCGACTTCGTGTTAAAAAGTCGACGTCGCTTTTCGTTATCTATAGCTTAACAATAAAAAAGGCGACATTCGCGTCGCGCGTCGCTTTTCTCAAGGGCGACGCGGGAAATGGCCGAAATGGAACACCATACAATAACAGTCTGTATCTTATGACTAATAAGTACTATTAAGTAGTCGATGTGTATCCCGTACTAGTGACATGGTTCATATTTTTCTTTGTTGCTCTGAAATTTATATGGTGAAAAAAATAGTTGATATCATTTATATTTTTGCACGGAAATGTACAAATTTTACTAGTCAATGTTTTAAAAATTTAAATTGGCAATACAGAAAGATTGCACGAAAGCGGCACAAACACAAATCGATTTTTTAATTATGTAATTTCTTGGACTAAATGCCAACATTCTCAAAGGGGCCCATAGGAGAAATGTGTCCCGTTAGTGCCTCTTATTATACATCTATGTACAAGCGAAACACCATTATTCAGACCAAATTTATTGAAAAACCAAACTGCACAAATCTACTTTATATACCTACTCCTGTATTTTACAAATTAACTCCTATTTGTCAGAATTTGGTGATATATCTGTCTGTCGAGCCTCTATTTTTCATCTACTTCCAATTGTAAAAAATTGGTGCGGAGGTAACCAGATCTACCTGAAATACTGATTGTTCTATAAACCGGACAGACACCAGGTCCATGAATTATATGGGGTATTATAATGGCCTATTGTTCGAAACAGCAAAAGCAACCATAAATCTATCAATATCATCTAAAACCAACTTGGAGGCCTAATACACTTGATAATTACCTGTATGGTAAATGTGCAATGTACGATCTTATCTGATTGAAGGTCGTGTGAAATGCTCAGATTACAGTTATTTGGTCTGCTGATGCTAGAAAGTTGACCCTTTAGGTCAAAGGTATTATTGTTTGTCAGCTGAGAGTTAAAAACATAGTTCCAGCCTGTATTTTCGTAATATTGCCGGCTTCTGTAAATGACAAATGTCATGGCCTTTTTCACTTGGGTTTACTGCTAATTAGATCCCAGCTTATTGGAACGGTTAAATTGTAGTAATTAATCAGGATTTTAATAGTGACTTTCAACCAGAAGCTATGTGAGTGGGACCAATGGCGAGCTTTGCGTCATGGTTTTGAGTTTTTGCGCCCCCTTGAGTTTTTGTGCCCCCCTCGCAAATGGCAAAAAATCGAGCGGTTTCATAATCATAATCATAATTCCTAACCAGTGTCAAACATATACCGTGGGTCAGATATTCCACAAATCGACTCTAGCATGTTTCATACAGCCCAATATTAGCCGGTGGCACGTGGGAATGGGGGGTTCCACCCCACACCCTCCCCCGCACACACATATAAATTGTTTCTTGGGGGCTGCAACGGGATCTTGTTCCTCATGCAAAAACATGGGTCACCACGCCCCTGTTTTCAACATGCACTAATGTTACGTTTATTATTGATTAGACCGTATCTACTGTGATATCATTAAATAAATAAATGGAATATGTATGTCCAAACAGTCACATATGAACCAAGTTGCACTATTGATTGTATTATTGTAGATGGTATAACGTGTCCATATTGCAGTCCACAGTCTAGTTTACTTGAAGTAAAACGTCCCCGGGCATGTCTTCTATATGGCCATGACCTGTCTTAAGTGTGGACATTGGTCAGTTTGATTGATGTAAAGCACACGCTATAATAAATAAACCAGTCTTGGTCTGGGCCTCTAATTGTTCTTCCAATATCCATTGAAACCAACAACTGATATGTCTGCCATTTATAATAGATATTGAGGCTGTAATGATTAAGGAAGATTTTTGCCAGGGCGTTGTTGCAAATATGTCTTACAATTTACAACAATCCGCATTTAACGCATATTGTTGGAAACGGGTTTTGTCTAATGAAAGAAAACGAAGTGAAACGAATAATCCGAATATGGTTACAAAGGCTATGTTATTGACGTTTTCCACTTGATCTTTGTAGTTTGTCGTGCAGGTTCGACACAATATACCGTTATTGTGAACAATCTGCATATTTATCAGATATATTATGACAATGTATACATAAAGTAAATCGCAAGCTTTGACTCTGTGTCATTGTTAATTTGTATGTCGTAAATCGTACTCGGAAACACCTGGTAATGGTATTGATTTTTAGTCTCGGTCACTCAGAACCTCCTAGTCTTCAACGTACGGAGGCACTTGGCAAACCTCCGCAAATTCCAGGACCCTACATTTAGTCTCGGCCAGTATCTTAGGCCAAGTCAAGTAAGAGTTGCGCCCTTTTCTGCTATAAACCCCATAATTATTTGATTATTATAAACAACCATGAATCGTGACGACGAATTGGGATTAATTAAGAAACACGAATATGGCCTATGAAGCGAGAAATTTTACAATAAAAAAAATTTAAGTGTTGGCATGAAATGGCATGCTTAATTAATTTCTTGGGCGTCGACATTTTGTTTTAGGACTAGTTACCTCCCATAGACATTGTTTAGGATAATGTAAAAGACCGGAAAATCTAGCCAATATTATTATTCCCAAATGTTGACAAGACAACGCATCCAGACTCATATTCGTAGAATATTTTTCTCGACGATAGAGACTAATTGATTTTAGGCGTCGACAACTTGCCTTTTGAATTTATAGCCATAAACGGTTGTTATGAGAATAATGGGTTTAACAGGAAGATAATGGTTTCGTTGTCTAGTTTACCTGTATCATTTGTAGGCTAATGGTGTATATAAACTCAGTATGAGAATGAAAATAGTTTTCTTGGCCTTGAAGCTTGTTTTAGAATCTCTCAGATAATGTAGGATGACCATGAGATTAATGCTGATCATAATGTGTACGGTGTTCACAAATTGTTAAGAGTCAACCCCAAAGGCGGCAAAGTTAACTCCATTATTATAGCTATCTGAAAATTCCGATATTTGATAGGGTTCAAGCCCGGTCTTCATTTGTCAGGAGTGGCGCCCGCTAGGCAGATAAAGAAAGTGTGCTTAGTCGTTCGGATGGAACGAGAAACGACCAGTGTACCTATTCGCGTGAACGCAAGAGAACCATTAATAGCAGGAATTCGTAGAAAGGTATAGGGTAAAATTCATCGATCTCATAGTAAAAATTACCACGTGTTTTTCTCAAAATTACTGAAGTATTACGTTGACGAAACATTGAACATTCCATTCCATTGTTATCCACTGAACAATTCGTGGGGATTTCTCATAAGAAATATTCAAGTTCTGACATGGGATATAACGATCATGGGATACCATTGATACAACGTGAGAAGGTTTTTCATCATTTGCTATCCACAGCTAAGATCAGACTTCTCACATATTAATTGATACGTCATTGTGTAGGCGTAAAATATCACAAATATGTCACCGCGTCCCACCCTTCACTTACATCCGTCTAGAAAATAATGCCTGGGGTTAGTGGGGATGTTGAACATAGCGATACGAGTACTCTTTTCCACGCTTGATTTCCGAGGTATAATGCACCACCAATTGGTTAGTTTGAGCTTTATTCACGTGTTGTATTCATTCAAATATTTGTACATTAGACAGTCAAATGTACTCAAATATCTTACAAAATCACATTGCATACATTACATAGCAACTAAAAATGTCAGTATGTCATATACAGTTGAACGAAACATTGTTGATGAGACAATGAATTCTATTCAATTCCCAAATAACATCGTTTGTCGAGGTTTTTTTACGTCCGCTTCCACCTTTGGTGATATCGCAGACAAGCCCCAAATAAATGTACTTCATGCCTTTTAAAGTTAAATGTATGCTTGGCTGCCCATGATAGCAAAAACAATTTGCGGCTGAACTGGCGCTTCAAACATACAATAATCACGCGATGTGATAGGAATAGACAGCTTACATTCAACAATACGGGCAGCTACCTTTTTACACCGACTCAGAAGTACATTATCATACATGTATTTACAATCATATTATGTCTGTAGAAAACTATAAGTTATGTACATGTGTTAATCCAATTTAAATTTATTCGATCAAATTTAATATAATTTGAAAACTTATTATATCAAGACCACCTAGACCACGTCGTTGGATAATTGCAATTAAAAGGCGAACATTGTGATCAATTAAAATAATTAAGTATCTAATACACTCACAAATTATGGTGCTCCCTCAAAGGTGCGTAACTTTCGCGAGGACGTATTTACATTTTCCGGTTACATAAATTCTTTCTTTCTCACGTTTTTAAGTCATTCACAAACATTCAAATTATCAAATAAATAACCATTCACCCTTCAAAAACACACACGTTTATTACAGCTGCCTTGATGATTCTACTTAAATATGAATTGAAATGCTAAATTATATTGTTACTTTTGTACGGGTGCCGTCTGGGTTCTTGTCGTACATTCGCGTCCTTGAAAACAGATGGTTTTATGATAATCATTCTGTCTGCCAGGACTCGGCACCCATATAACGTTTATGAATATCAACGTTCTCCAGTTGATATATAAATGGCAATTTGTATCCTCTATGTAAAATAAATCACTGCACGGAGAGTCTCGTATTAGAAAATAATTGTAGTTTTTAAACAAAAACGTCCTGATTGTCAACAAGACTGAATGAATCCCCATATTTATTGATCGAACAAGAACTTTCTCTGCTCCACTTTCAGTACATGACACTCATCTATAAGCCAAATGACGAAATACTGCCAGAGTTCTGAGTCACTTCGCCCTCGTAACGATGAGTTAAGAAATTTGCTGTTTCTGTCAGTTGATGTAAAAGTCCGAAAATGCCTTGCAAGTGGTGTCTAAACGCAGCAGAGGTTTTTTTGGAACTATCGTCTGCGTTATCCTCCAGTTCGCAGAAATCACCATCACGGGCAGGTCCTGATATGATTTCGTGTTTCACGGCATTTAGCATGGAATAAAAACTATATAAGTCTGAACCAGCAGGTATGCAAGGCACTAATGCCTTATTATTATTTTCTTCCGACAAAACACCAGTGGACTCCCCGACATCCATATCCCTCAATTTACTTGGAATCATAACAGCTTCGTCCATATTTTTCACGGCTTGTACGAATTTATACAACGCCGATAACAACGACTGTTGTTGAAATTCTGTTCCATTCGTGGTATTTGAAGCTTCATCCATTCTGTTTTCCATTTTGATCAGTTAACGGTATCAGTAAATCCCAGTAACAATTTAACAAACTTTATCATTCGCCGAGAACCTTTATATATACCGGTAAATTCTAGTTAATCATGTACTCACTATCAGCATGCTTTTATGACGAAATCAACCGGGAGAGCTTTTGAGCACATCTAACTTCTCATTCAAGGGGTGTCCGTATTTTTATATCAATTTTTCCTGTCGATCGCATCCCCATTTAATAATCCCAATATCAATGTGCCATACTAGATAAGTATATAATAAGAATAAGTGGGTGAGTATTTATACGTGGATATTAAATTAATATAAAATCTCTTCTCATAGCCAAAGATAAAACTATATGTCCCTAACGATCAAATGGACTCGTCCCCACAAACAAACGAAGCCAAGAAGGCGAAGCTCGTATAGTCGCTTCCGATTGGCTTGTTTGTGTGGTGTGTGAGTCTAATTCAATATTACGTGAGGTTGAAATGCGGAACTTTCTTTAGTCAGTTCAATGGGACCAGTTAAATTATGATGAAGGCAAGGAGAATTAAACTGAATATAAAAAATATTCACTTCTGCATACATTTTGTTGACATTTATTAAAAGGCTCCCAGGCTATGCAATTTGGGACGATGGCATGATGCTATCTACGTTTCGTTTGGTTGTAGTTTCTCAATAAAGGTAGTTCGTCAAATATAGATTGATTATATTTACAAACATAGGATGGACACAGTAAACACAAATTACTCACGTTTTCGGCTGTTTTTAGAACCGTGGGCGTGGCTGAAAATAACGGAACAGGTATAAATTACATGATCTACACCGTACGACAACCCCAACATTCATAAATAAATACAAATATAACAACATAATAATTATATAGACTAATAACAAACAACATTAAATTATAATATTAACTGTAAGTCGAAAAGTGGTTCATTTTGTCAGTTATTATTATAACTCAATACTTGTTTTAAAACTTTGTAGACCAAAACTTAATAGTATCCCTTCAAAGCACAGAATAGCCCACGTCGATAATCTGTATTATAATTGTTTCGTATTTCTATAACTCTTTAATTTACCTTTAGCGACTTAGTTATATCCGATGTATTGTCCAACAATTAAAGGTGTGATAATCTGGCATTCGATATGGATTGTCGATATCTAAAATAAACTATTCTACCATAGTAATGTGTTTAGTGATTGTTTCTTATCCGAAAAACGTGTTCGAAATTTACGAACTGAAATATTTTAATTTGATATGGTTCTTTAGATACAAATTTAACAAATCTAAAAGCTAAAAGGTGTTCTTTTACAAGATCGATTAAGACCAAACAAAATGTAGACGATACTGTATTGTTTTCGATTTATGTGGATGGAAATTATTTATCCCTCAAATCTATGGAAGGGTATCGCTGCCAATATTAAATGCTCTGCTACAATGTCTTTTCCACTGATTATATGTAAAAAGTACAATGTACAAAATCCTAATACCGGTAATGATAAAGTCAAAATACCTCTAAGGTAAGAGTTAAATGTAAAACGTAAAATGTTAAGTGTTAAATGACAAATGTTTTGTTGGAAAATGTTTTTTTGACGTGTCAACATTTTACATTTCTCTCATTACATTTTACATTTGCGCTCTGCCACATCCCATTTGTCATTCACGCTTTCTACATAGCAACTTTCGCACAGCATCAAATTCCATATGCAAATGTAGGATATCACGTGACTTATTAACATATACGGAAACCTGGCACACTATAATCCAGAACAAGGATATTCACGACACTATTACAGGAAATCAGCCTAGCACACAATAAAAATTTACTTAACTTGACACTTTGGATGGTACTTTACCATGATTACGGGGGTGGGTGTGGGGGCTGTGCAATGTTCAAATACGAAATTCCAGGTATCATGTTACATATTAGTGAAAAGCACGTTCATTTCTGTTTGTAAATATATAAATATTTTTCTGGTACAATCGTATTTTCATAATTCAAATCCAATAAATATCACACTATTAAAGGGGTATTCAAGTAAAAATACTGGTCTAAATACGAAATTCCAGATACCATGTTATACGTACCACCGATTGCTCTTTTCAAATATGCAAATAATTTTCTGGCACATTCATATTTGCTTAACTTTACAAAATAAGATTAAAGTTGAAGTGACAGAAGGGTGGGTGGGGGACTAAACTAAACTTAAATAAAGATATGGGCTTTAATCAAACATTCTGTATGTCCATACTAAAAAGTGTATAGTCATTCCTCTCTTTAAATACATTATTTTTTTGTTGGGCACAATGCTTATATATTGTTGTTTTTTTAATGGATCAAAGTTAATTAGGCTGTACTCAACTCTGTTTATAGAGAGACAGGAAAGAGTGGGGGTGTTTAAAATATCAAAATACGGGTATTAATACGAAATTCTAGTTATTGTGTTATAAATTACTGGAAAGTATGTTTTATGGTTGTTTGAATCTATCAATTATTTCCTGGCACATTCATGATTACGCACGGTCGTCTAGATAGTTTCTTACAGTGTCCCAGCTTGATTTACTGTTATCGTGCGGTGAATATACTTATAGTGTGCCGGTTTATAGTGTGCCGCGTTTCCGTATATGTTAATAAGTCACGTGATATCCTACATTTGCATATGAAAGTTGATGCTGTCCGAAAGTTGCTATGTAGAAAGCGTGATTGACAAATGGGATGTGGCAGAGCGCAAATGTGAAATGTAATGATAGAAATGTAAAATGTAGACACGTCAAAAAAAAAGCATTTTCCCACAAAACATTTGTCATTTAACACTTAACATTTGACGTTTTACATTTAACTCTTGCCTTAGAGGTATTTTGACTTTATCATTATCGGTATTAGGACTTTGTACATTGTACTTTTTACATATAATCAATGGAAACGACATTGTCGCAGAGCATTTAATATTGGCAGGGATACCCTTCCATACAAATCAGGCAAGGATTTATCCCTCAAATCAGGCAACTATATGATGACATCATGAAATAAAAAGAAAAGAGTCTTACGTAAGGCGGTTTTAATAATTTATGAAGCAATATGATTTTTTAAAATAAAAGTACTCCTTTTTTGCGTATGAAATATTGGGTTGTTAAACACGTTTGGTGTTTACTGTCATGAGCAGCGTGGTGGGTAACCGAATCATTAACGCGTGCGCGTTGAATCCGAAGGTTTGTCATTGGGTCAAATGGCGTGGTTTCGATTCCCCGCTTGTACGTGACAAGGAGTATGGTCGCTTGTCCAACCTTGTGGGTTTCCTCCTGGTCCTCCGGTTTCCTCTCATTGCTAAAGACCCCTATGCGCAAGCGAATTAATGAAATAAAATTGAACCATATGTTACTCCCGAAATGACATAGTTTGTGTCGAGTGAACGTTAAACCCCATTCCTCCCTCCTCTCTGTCATCAGCAGGTACTAATAAAGGGTGTTTATCGTCTGTCATGTTTATGTTTATGATTACGTCATGTGTTAGTTTTCGTCCCATTTGACAGACTGAGAGAAATAGAGAGAGATGAAATGAAATGGGGTATAAACGCCCTAGTGTTCTGCTCCGACTGGGCAAATGGAGACGGAAATTTTGCCTGGACAGCGGCGCAACGGCCTACTCTTACATCGAATTCTAACTGCCTCGGGACCTTTAACGTGCACGTTAATGTGTACACGGGACCTCGTACCATCCGAACGACTATACGTTGTCCCTTGCCAGGCCCTAGGTCCTACACAACTGACAAAGAGAAACCACTTTGTCACAACCAACGCAGGGCTCGAACACGGAGCCTCCAAGTTAGCCAGATAAGTTCGTACCTACTGACTCCCAAATAGAGATTACTATTCAAGCAGCACAAATAAGTCATTTCTGGACTTTCGTATATATAGCCGAATCATCAAGATTTGTTGATATTTCTACTATTAGTATTAATGTTAAAAATACTCTACCAATTAATATTACTCAAGCACCTGTTCAAACCATTCGCAACGCACTTCGATTGAACACGAATGCTCAAAGTTGTTCAAACCGTGGCGACTCATTGAGAACCGTGTCTTCGATGAAACAAGGTCTGCAAAGCCCATATCTACAACGCATACGGCAATCTTATAGATTTTACAACGGCAACTATATTGGCTTCTTAATCTTAAGTCGGGAATACATTAGAGATTATTGAATATGATAAACATACATATTGTAGTGGTGTCTGTGATGAATACAACCAAGTTAGAGTAATATTAATCAAAAATATTAAATCTAACAAATTGTCTTACATAACAGTTCAGGTAACAGGTACGAACCGATCCATTACTACGTAATACAAACATAAATCATTCAAAATCTTATATATGCAAAATAGTTCTAACCTGTCTTTCAACATCTTATTAAACATTCAAAATACTCTAGGCGTTTTCTTTCTCTATATAAAAAGTATCTTATTATGAAATACAGGTGACGTCTGTATATTTGAATTATGTGGTCTCTAAAGTCAATGACTTGGACAGAGATTGTCTACACGCTATAGCGAATATTATACAATTTTGTTTAGACCATGTATTTTTAAAACCAATGCTGAAAACCGATGTGGTTTATTCTCTCATGACTCTGATGCTACACACCAAAACAAATCCGTTATAAACTGTAGCTCTATATCGCGTTCACAAGGTTTTCTTAATAAAAGGGGTCGTGATTCCAAACAGAAAGTCGCAGAACGCTGAAAATCGATAGGGTTCGTCCTTGAGAGAGAGAAAAAATCCCTTAATAACCGTAGCCTTTGTATTTTATACGGTTTGTTTTCCTCTAACGGTACTAACCCTAATACTTCACACCGAATTTGGAACTCGTCCTCTCAAGACCTCCATGCTCCAACAATAGCCCCACTTCTATCGCGTTCACAACCCAGTTGTTGACGGATGGACCAACGGACAGGGTGACGACATGATACGCCAACACTATGATACTGTATTATTGAAAAGTGTATTACATTGTATATATTTTAACACTGTGACATTGGTATTGTGGAGCTATGGAAATTGCAAATTGTAAAACTAAAATACGTATTTTGAACTGCTGACATATGCAGTTTGTACAATGAACATTTAAATAATATTGACAACGTTATCC